CAGAACAGTAGAGCGATTCAAGCAGAGGATGCAAGAGGTATTACCCTGAACGGTTTGCAAGGAGCGTTACAGCAGCAATAGCACCAGGGAACTTGTTAGGAATACAGCTTCTTGGACCACCCCCACCCCTGCCCTGAGACCCTAAATCAGAGACTCTGCAGCTGGGCCCAGCCATCCGAGTTGTTCAAAGATGCCCTCCTGGTGATGTTAATACACGCTCAAGTTTGGGAACCACTGGCATGCAAGTGTCTGCACGTTTCCAGGGACTGGAAGACTGCAGCAGTCTTCTGCTTCCAAAACCCCGTAATTCTACAGAAGTAAGATGGAAATACAATTCAATGTCCACTCAGTTTTTCTTTTTCTTAATGTCGAGCACTTAAATTGTGTCCAGTTACACAATTTAGCAACTGATAGATTGTTTTCAAGATATTCAAAGGCCCACAGGATACAGATTTGGGAGGTTGTGGATGACCAGGAGGCAGCCTATATTTCAGCCACCTCATTGTTTCACTGACTTCCAAGCCAGCCCCACATGTCCCTGCTCCTTGCTGGTTCACACTGTTCCTCTACCCCTGCCTTTTGAAATCCTGCCTTCTTTCAAAGCTCAATTTAAATGTCACATTGTCCACACAGAGTGCCTAACACTGTCTGCGCCCGCAGGGTAGTCTCCTTTTCTTCCTCCCAACCTCCCCTGCTTCCTGGCTTCTCTCTCACTTCTGGGGTACTTATAGCTGTTGGTGCATTCTGTTTCATCTCACAGGGATGCAGGCCTCTCTCAACTGTGCTCGCCTTGAGAGCAGGCCCCATTCAGTCATCGACAACCCCACAGGGCCTGGCACACAATAACCTTGTGAGAAGTGACCAAAAGTAACATTTGCAGAAAACTGTGCATGCAACTGTTTGCAGAATGGACAGACACTACATGGCTGGTGAAAAGGAAGTGCGCTGCAATTCACTTTTGAGCCCTGAGGTCTCTGCAGAACTTTGAGGTTTTTTGCAATAACCAGTATGAATACATGTGTGTAAACTAGTACGAAAGGGGCCTCAACCTCACTCACCCGCAACCCTGGTTGCCTTTAATTTCTCTTCATGTTGCTAATAATCACTGTTTAACAGCTCCTTGGTGATAAGGAATGCTAAATGCTCTCAGAGCCAACCTTTGGAAGGACCCCATGGACCCAAGGAGGGAGAAGTCTCCAGCTGAGAGAGCAGAGAGGTCATCTGTTTGAACACTATCATAGCGACAGCAAATAAGGATACTGGGGATAACAGAAACCAGGCCCAGTTTAGCAGTTCATACCTGTGGGACCCGGTTTCCCATGGCTGTGGTGGACTGGTCGTGTGACCAGGATGGTGGTGAGACACTCCTCTTCCCAACATGGGTTCCCAACCCCCAGGCTCCCAGAATGGACTCATTCTGCAGTGAAAGCTAACACTTTGATGGAGTGAAGAGGTATTTCTTTTTTTCTTTTTCTTTTTTTTTATTTTTAGAGACGCAGTCTCGCTCTGTCACCCACGCTAGAGTGCAGTGGCGCAATCTCGGTTCACTGCAAGCTCTGCCTGCCGGGTTCACGCCATTTTCCTGCCTCAGCCTCCCAAGTAGCTGGGACTACAGGCGCCCGCCACCACACCCAGATAATTTTTGTATTTTTAGTAGAGACGGGTTTCACTGTGTTAGCCAGGATGGTCTCAATCTCCTGACCTCATGATCTGCCCACCTCGGCCTCCCAAAGTGCTGGGATTAGAGGTGGGAGCCACCATGCCCAGCTTGGAGTGAAGAAATATTTCTAATATCTGTCTCCTCTGACGATGGCTTCAGTGGAGCGATCTGGGAGTTCTCAAACCCCAGAGCACCCTACTGTTTTTAGGACCACAGAGTACTACAATAACAGGAACAACAAGGAAAAGAGAGGCTCTAGACTAGCCATGAAAAAATTTCCCCCACCCTCCCTGCACCCTTGAATTCTTGCTTAGCCTGGCACTGGGTGTCAACCATGACAGGTGTTTCCCCAGAACCATGGGGCTTCCTGGTGTGCTGTGCCCTTTGGCACAGGGCCTGGCCCAGCCTTGTAAGACTTAGAGCCCAATGATTCTCAGACTAATGCTCCTGCCATCTAAGGGCACAACCCTAGAATTTAGGAACAATCGTAATCTCCCAAGCCATCACCGACCAAGGAAGAACAGAACAGAATAGAAATGGATGTGAAGCTGGGCATGGTGGTTCAGGCCTGTCATCCTAGCACTTTGGGAGGCCAAGGCCAGAGGATTGTTTGAGCCCAGGAGTTCAAGAGCAGGCGGGGCAGCATAGGGAGACCTCATCCAAACAAATCTTTTTAAAAATTATCAACCGAGCATGGTGGCTCACGCCTGTAATCCCAGCACTTTGGGAGGCCAAGGCAGGCAGATGGATCACTTGAGGTCAGGAGTTCGAGACTAGCCTGGCCAACATGATGAAACTCTGTCTCTACTAAAAATACAAAAATTAGTCCGGCCTGGTGGCAGGTGCTCATAATCCCAGCCACTCGTAAGGTTGAGGCAGGAGCATCACTTGAGCCCAGGAGGCAGAGGTTACAGTGAGCTGAGATCACGCCACTGTACTCCAGCCTGTGTGACACAGCGAGACTCCATCTCTAAATAAATAAATAAATAAATAAATAAAAAGTTGTCCAGGTGTGGTGGTGTACACCTGTGGTCCTAGCTGCTTGGAGGGGCTGAGGTGGGAAGATCACTTGAGCACAGGAGGTCAACGTTGCAGTGAGCTATGATTGCTCCACTGCACTCCAGCCTTGATGACAGTAAGATCCTGTCTCAAATTTTAAAAAAATTTTAAAAATAAATAAATAAATAAAAGGAAAAAAAAGAAAAAAAATGGGTGGGAAGTTAAGGTCAGTCATTCATCCTCCCCCCCACCACACCAGGACCATTTTGGTGCCCCTACTCGTTGCCTCCCCTGCTCACCACCACCCTCACTCAAGCCTTCTCGGCAGCTCCCTGCCCTTCTTCCCTTTCAGCCTGGAGCGGCTGTGTTCTCTGTCCTACTTCTAACCAAAACCTACTCTCAGGAGAAGACTTGGTACCTTTCTTTATACTTGAGAGGACATTCTGTCCTTTTATCTTCTAGTTCTTCTATCGTCAGTCCTTTCCTTATTATGAATTAGCAAACACAAAATCTTTGTTCCCCAGGGTACAGAAAAGAATTTTAAGAGGTGGTTTTTCTCAGCCCCCTCAGCACCCTAGTCTATTTCTAACACCAACAAGACAAAACAAGGGAGAGGAAAGGAGAAGGAGATGGAGGACCAGTTGCAGGAGAGAAAGGAGAAAAAAATCCACAGTGGGGGTGGAGGAAGATCTCTGACTGCTTAACGACCCATCCTGTGGTTTTCAAAGACTGAATATAACAGCTGTGAAAGTGTGAGCAATGACGAAACTGGAGAGATGGGGTTGTAACAAGATGCAAGAACAATCTGAGGACTGAGAGCCATTTCAACGTGAGCCCCCAGCCTGAGAACAAGAACTTCTGTCTGGAGGTAAAAAGATCGGTTGGGGACCTGGGGTCCAGGTGGAGGGACGGGATGCTTGACAGAACTGCTCAGGCAAGGCAGGTTTCCCATGAGGTCCCTGAGAAACCTGCCTTTTGGAGGGAACTGTCCTCTGTCCTCTGGACCCTGGGGAGAAGGTTATTTCTGCCTGCCAGACCAGCATGCTCGCTCTTCTTCCATGGCCATTTAGGGATCCTGGCCCCACTCTGACATTCCTCAAATGGAGGAATTCCTCAAATTGCCAGAGGAAAGTTACCAAAGTTTAGATCAGCATTCTGCTGGAGCTCTTCAAGGCCTGGGCTGAGACAAGTCAGGAGGCACCACGCGGCTTGGAGCTGGCCCTGTGAGGCACCTCTAGGGGAAGTTCACGTCCTAGGTGGTTCACGTTGTGGGCCTCTTGGAGGTCCATGAATAGATTCATTCATGGGATTTGTGAATTTTGGGGAAAAATACATCTTTATTTTCACTAATCTTTAATTGAAAGTTAGCACTTGCTTCAGTTACGAATGTAGACAATGAACCACAATAGAATTTGCCATCAATAGAAAACACAAATATTTTCAAATCTCATTACAGTTGTTATAGATTTCTCCAAATGTCATTAACGCTCAGCACTACTGCAGAATTACAACAGTTATTAGGCTGATACCAGATCTAAAGAAGCATATGTACTGCTCTATCACACATTCTTCTCATGTTTTGACAACTGTCTTGTCATCATTTGTTCCCTTTATTATCCCATGTATCTTATTAATTTTTAAATGTTATTCTGAGAATGGACTCCATATGCCTTCCCAGACCACCAAAGAGGTCCATGGCCTCCTTTACCTCAGGCGCCTGCTTTGGTGTGTTGAGCAGGAAGTCCGAAATCTCAGACAAGAGCTTCAAGGGCCCCCCAGCCCAAACCTCTGTTTGCTAACAAGTCTGGTTCTACTTTAAGGCAGTTGGGGTTGTGGAGATAGAAAAAGAAGCGCCTTCACAGCAGCAAACGAGATCTTTCTGGGCATCTTTTTCAGTGTTGTGGGAGATCCGTATTCAGAGGTATTTGTGGAGCTCAGAGCTGACCTTCCAGCTCCTCTGAGAGGTTAGATCCGGGCTCCGGTGACAGAGGAAATGGAGTCTCTTTCTTGCCATCTTGTCCCCACCCTCCCCAGAAAACCTCTGGCAAAGCTTTATGTGTCATCTAACCGTCACCACATTCCTATGAGGGAGCTTTAAACACAAGAGGAATGTGAGACTGAGCGAGGTCTAGCAATGTGCCACAGGTCACACAAAGCTTGAATTTGAACCCAGGAGCCTACGAGACTCCAGGACCCCCTCCGGAGGTGCGGCAGAGACTCCAGGACCCCCTCCGGAGGTGCGGCAGAGACTCCAGGACCCCCTCCGGAGGTGCGGGAGCTCCAGGACCCCCTCCCGAAGTGGCAGAGACTCCCGGGACCCCCTCGGAGTGCATGAACTCCAGGACCCCCTCCCGGAGGTGGGAGAGACTCCAGGACCCCCTCCGGAGGTGCGGCAGAGACTCCAGGACCCCCTCCGGAGGTGCGGGAGAGACTCCAGGACCCCCTCCGGAGGTGCGGGAGGGAAGAGTTTCCCACAGTCTGTGAGCTGTTGCCTGAGAGAGGCCCCGGGCTCTGGGGCCACCAGCGCAGCTCGGGAGCCCCGGGGAAGATCAAAGGTGAGGATGCCAAATGCACGGGCACCCACCCCCGTGCCCGCGCTGGGGCTCACAACGTTGTAAGAGGGGAGACCCGCCCCTGGCGTGTAGTGGGCCCGGAAAATTCCCAGACTTTTCACGACCACCCGCTCTCCCCCTGTTGAGGGCCAGGTGCCGCTCTAGTGCATGCTGCGTCCCCAGGACCCACCAGGCCCAACTTTGCACCCCCTCAACTCCCCTCCTAGTTTAGGCTTTCCCTGTCTAGCCCCCATGCTCGCTGGATGGTCCATGGCTGGAGTGACCAACGCAGGGCAGATTGGGGTCACTCGGCTTTGGCTGGAAGGCAGCGCCCTCTAGCGGCCAGAGTGCGGAATCAGCGCCGCCGGCTCCGCGCTGCCCGGCCTGCGTCACACCAGGGTGCTCCCCTCCCGGGCACCAAGGTCACTTCCCAGAGCATCCTTGCCCAGTGACCCCGCCTCCCCCCAGCGCTGGTGAGGGGCCCACAACAGACTTACACGCTCTTCTTCAATTCAGCCCTAGGCACCGCGAAGCCTGGCCACTCCAGTGGAGTGACCGGCTGCATCAGCCCCTCCGAGCCTGTCTGCCTGTCCTCTGTCTCCTTGGAAGCGGTCCCTACCCTGCGCCCCTCCCATCCCGCTGCACCAGTCCCTTAGGAAACACGCCTAGAGAAAGGACACGACCTTGTCAACATTCCATGGCTACGTAGTGCGGAGCCAGGACTGGAAGGAAGCCCGATCTCCTCAGCCCACCTTAATTCACCCACCGTATTCTTTAGGTACCAGCTCCCCAAAGCCCACAAACATCTATGAAGGCCTAACTCCATTGCCATCTTGCAGCCTTTCCACATCGCTCATCCAGAATTTCTCCTTTCCTGCCCCTTGACACTTTATAACCTTATTACTGTTCTTAGTACAGTCGTTCTTGTGTTACAGCTGTTCGTGAATGGATGAGTGGCTGTGAGGAAAGGGACAAAGAGGACTTCAAGAGAAAGACTCTCATAACTTGGGTTAGAATCCTGCTCCCCAACTTAGGAGCTGTGATTTTAAGCACGTCGCAAGGCCTCTCCAAGCCTCTATATGCTTCGTGCAAATAATAAATTTTACAAAATAATAATGGCTTAGTGTTTTATAACGACTAAACACAGTCTTGTAGGTAGATGTGCCTGGAACACTGTCCATTGATTCCAATATACGAAAGCATAAAAATAATCATAGCTATCATTTATTGAGCCCTTACTCTCTGCCAGGCATTATGCTAAGTAGTTTACACAGGTTACCTCATTTGACCCTCACCACCCGAGGAAGAAAATATTTTGTCACCATTTTATAGGTCAGTAAACTTATTTTCAGAGAGGTTAAGAAACTTGCCCAATATTACACAGATAGTAAGTGTGAAAGCCAGATCTCAAACATGGTGGTCTGACTCTAAAGACCATCTAACCCCTAAAACATCTTTGCCTCTGCTGTGTTAGTGATCTCTCTGTGCCCCGTGGTGCCTGACACATTATAGATGCTCCGTGTTTCTGAAATATGTCTATTTATTAAAAGCTGAGCATAGTGCCTGGCCCAGGAGCCTAAACTTGACCAAGTCATGCAACTATTAAGTTTTCGGACCAGGATTTGAACACAAACACTCTGGCTCTAGAGTCTATGCTTTTTAACCATAATTCTGGGCTGAATGAATAATTGCAATCCTTCTTTATCTTCCTCTTTGAATCAAATGATGCTTTGTCACTAAATAGTCTATGTTTCAAGAGTCACCAGGACATTCTGGTATAGCATGAAGGTATGATAACACAGGAGAGGGAGCAAGAAGAGGTCAAGGCTAGGGGACAGGACATTGGGGCCATACCTTGAGCCGCTGCTGGGATGTTTTATTAGGATTTTTTATTAGGATTGTGACAAATGTACATATAAGTACAGACAAAATTAATGATCGTCTCTACTTAGATTTTCTTTTATGTTTCTTAATAGTACTGTATAGTTTTTATCCTATAAGTCCTATTCGAATGTTTTACATTTTTCTGGACATTTCATGGGTTTTTTTGGTGGCTATAAAGAATGAAACTTTTTCTTCTACCATATTTTCTAATAATTATATCTAGGAAAAAACAATCTTATGTATTAATACCTTAAATTATTTATATACACTAATTTAGTTTATTTTATACAAATTATAATTACATAACATTCTATTCTGTGGATCTGCCATAATTTTTTCAACCATTCTTACCAGTGGGTCTTCACCTGTTTCCTTTTTTTGTGGGGGCGGGAGGGCGACGAAGTTTTGCTCTGTTGCCCAGGCTGGAATGCAGTAGTGTGATCTTGGCTATTGCAATCTCCGCCTCCCAGGTTCAAGCAATTATCCTGCCTTGGCCTCCTGAGTAGCAGATCACAGGCACCTGCCACGGTGCCCAGCTAATTTTTGCATTTTTAGTAGAGCCAGGTTTCATGTGGGCCAGGCTGGTCTCCAACTCCTGACCTCAGGTGAGCCGCGTGCCTCAGCCTCCCTAAGTGCTGGTATTACAGGTGTGAGCTACCACACCTGGCCTTCACCTGTTTCTATTTTTTTGGTATTATAAACAATGCTGCAGTGAATATCCTTGTACATATATACTAGCACACTCATGCTTTTATTTCTGTAAGCTATAGCCTAAGGGACAGGGTATGTGCATTTGAAATGTTCCCCCAAAGCTCCATAACAATGTATAGTTCTACCTAGAGTGAATGATTGCACCTATTTCTTCTTACCCTTACCAAACTTTGATTTATCAATTTTTAAATTTTTGTTCATTTAACAGGCGGTAATTCTGAAATTCTGAACTCTGAATTTTTAATTTGTACTTCCCTGAATACTTGTAAAACTAAAAAACTTTTTATTCCATTTCCTCTTTTGTGAACTGCCTATTCAGATACTCTTTTATTGTTTTTAATAATTCTTAAGTTTCTTGGGTTTTCCAGATGTAAGTTATATCACATATAAATAGTAATAAATTTGCCTTAAGACTTCCAATATTTATACCCTTTGCTTTATTTTCTTGTCTAAATGTAATGGCAAACACTTCCAGAACAATGTAAAATAACAGAAATAATAGGAAGCATCTCTGCCTTAAATTATCCTATATTTTACCATTAAATATGATGCTGAAATTTTATCTGAGATATACATTTCTCCATTATATTGAATAGTATTCATCCATTACCATTTTACTTAGGATTTTAGTGGGAATTAATGTAAGACTTTATCAGAAGGTAATATTGACTTTCTTTTTTAATCCAGTAGTATGTTAATTAATAATTTCCTAATATTAAATCATCCAAGAATTTCTAAAAATGAAACCTCATTCCATTTGTCATGGTGTGTTATATTTTTAATATCTTGTAGGACTGGTTAATTTTTTTGTGTGTGTAATTTTTGTTTTTGGTTTTCTTGAGACAGGGTCTCACTGTCAACCAGGCCAGAGTGCAGTGAAGATCATACCTCACTGCATCCATGAACTCCTGGGCTCCTCCCACCTCAGCCTCTTGAGAAGCTGGGACTACAGGTATGCACCACCACACCTGGCTAATTTTTGTACTTTTTGTAAAGACAGGGTCTCACCTTGTTGCCCAGGCTGGTCTCAAACTCCTAGGCTCAAGCGATCCTCCCACCTCAGCCTCCCAAAGTGTTGGGATTATAGGCATGAGCCACCACACCTGGGCCTTTCCATTTTTAAAAATTTAAATAAAATATTATAAAACAGAATACAGCGGCATATGAAAAGAATAACATAGTAGGCTGGGCGTGGTGGTTCACGCCTGTAATCCCAGCACGTTGAGAGGCCAGGGCGGGTGGATCACGAGGTCAGGAGTTCAAGATCACCCCGGCCAAGATGGTGAAACCCCGTCTGTACCAAAAATACAAAAATTAGGCGAGTGCAGTGGCAGGTTCCTGTAATCCCAGGTACTTGGGAGGCTGAGGCAGGAGAATCGCTTGAACCTGGGAGGTGGAGGTTGCAGTAAGCCGAGATCGTGCCACTGCACTCCAGCCTGGGCGACTGAGTGAGACTCTGTCTCAAAAGAAAAGAATAACATACTATGACCAAATGGTTTCAGTTTTTGTTTGTTTGTCTGGGACTGCAAAGATGTATCAATTTTAGGAAATCTATTAATGTAGATCACCATCTTAATATATCTTAAAGAAAAATAATATCATTTTAGTTGATATTTAAAGGCAATTAATAAAACATTCACATCCATCCTTGACATTTTAAAACTCTTAATAAAATAGAAATAATGTATATTCCTTAACATAATGAAATACATCTCATTCTCAAAGCTACTATAATACTTAAAAAGGAAACATTTAAGCATCCCCCATTAAACTTAGAAAAAAGACACACATTCATTATTACCATTATTATTTAATATTTTTCTGGAGACATTAACCAACACAATTAGAAGAAAGAAATCAGAGATATAAAACAGAAAAAGAATTATCATTATTTACACATAATATGATTGCATGACTGGAAAATCCAAGAGAATCAACTGAAAAATGATAGAATTAAGGGAGAGGAGCTGGATATGAAATTAATATCTAGTAAAAAAATAGCCTTTCATATATGAACAACAATGAAAAATTAAAAGATATAATGAATGATATAAAGAGACTGAAAAAATAAGTTAAAAGATACAATGAGTGGAAACAACAGATGCTGGAGAGGATGTGGAGAAATAGGAATGCTTTTACACTGTTGATGGGAGTGTGAATTAGTTCACCCATTGTGGAAGACAGTGTGGGGATTCCTAAAGGATCTAGAACTAGAAATACCATTTGACCCAGCAATCTCATTACTGGCCATATACCCAAAGGATTATAAATCATTCTATGATAAAGATGCACATGTATGTTTATTACAGCACTATTCACAATAGCAAAGACTAGGAACCAACCCAAATGTCCATCAATGATAGATTGGATTAAGAAAATGTGGCACATATACACCATGGAATACTATGCAGCCACAAAAGGATGAGTTAATGTCCTTTGCAAGGACATAGATGAAGCTGGAAACCATCATTCTAAGCAAACTTCATAAGGACAGAAAACCAAATACTGCATGTTCTCACTCATAAGTGGGAATTGAACAATGAGAACACATGGACACAGGGCGGGGCACATCACACACTGGGGCCAGTTGGGGGGTGGGGGCTGGGGGAGGGATAGCATTAGGAGAAATACCTAATGTAAATGACAAGTTGATAGGTGCAACAAACCAACATGGCACATTTATACCTAGGTAACAAACCTGCACAAGGTGCACATATACCCTAGAACTTAAAGTATATATTTAAAAAAAAAGATATAATGGGTAAAAGATGACATTTTCAATAGTGAAAAAGAATATGAATTACTCAAGAAACAAACTTAGCTAAGAAATGGACAAGGACTTTATGAAGAAAACTTCTATACATACCTGAGACACATATATTTGAAAAATGAGTATGACATTCTCAGATCAAAAGAATCAGTGTCACAACAAATTCAGTTCTCCCTAAGTTAAAACATAAATTGAACATATCCCAATTTTAAAATACCAATAGGACTTTTTCTTGGTGGTACACACAGTAGGAAAGGCGAGACTAGACAAGCCGACTATAAAAATCAAAAAAATAAATTTATAGAAAAATTCTTGTTTTCCCCTTTTGAATTTTAAATGCCGTGAATGTAATTACCTATTCAAAAGTTATAAACTACAAAACTTTATATTTTTGAAACATATACACACAGAGAAGATTTTTAAAAATAAAAATATTTATTTTATATACATAATTGCAATTTGCCCTTTTTGACCTAATGATATATCATGAATATCCCTCCAGGCCCATATTTATAGAAGTATCTCATTCTTTTAATATATATAATATTTTATTGCATAGATTCATGGAAACTTATTAAACCATTTCCCTATTGATGAAATTCAGGTGTTCGTTTTTCTTCAGTTTGTTTATTTTGAAACAGGGGTAATTTTTCTTAGCCAGGATTAGAAGGCATAACTATAAAAAATAAAACATAAAAATGTTGAAGGAAAATTATAGCCTCAATTGGAGGGAAACTTTCCTAAACAATGCAGGAAACCCAGACAACTTAAAGGAAAATATGATTAGATATGTTGTATTTAATTACATACAATGTAAATTTTCCTTGTGAAAAAAAGCATCATAAAACAAAGAGAAGAGACAAACAACAAATTGGGAGAAAGTATTTGCCTAAAGAAATGGCAGATGGGTTAATATCTCTAATATAGAGAAAGTTCCTAAAAGTTGAGTTAAGAAATATAAAGAATATGAACACACACAATTCATAGACAAGGGAATACTAATGACCAATAAGCGTATGAAAAGATCCTCAACCTCACTAATCATGGAAATGCAACATAAAACAGATCTAATTTTTCATCTATCAGATTGGCAAACATTTTAAAGTACAGATAATACTCAGCTGGCAAGGGCACAAGGAAATGTACACTATTAAGCATTCTTGGTGAACATCTGATTCTCAACAGTCTTTTTGGAGAGCAATCTGTTTATAGTAGAAAAAAGTTTTAATCCTCATATTCTTTGACCCAGCAATCCAATTTAACTTTATATATATATATATATACACACATATGAAAACAGCCCTACTGTCTCCCTACATCTCTCCCTCCCCTGCCCTCCCAGTATATCTCACTTGGTTTACCACCTCAATTCCCAGCCAGTTGGACTCTCATGCCCAAGCCCTCCTCTACCTCCATCATACTATAGCCAATGAAAGCTAGTGCCTGGGATGGGGAGATGGTCTTGGAGCCCTGGAAGGCTTTGTCTAGTGGGTCCCCCTGTGCTTTCAGGAGACTGAAGCCAAGGATACCAGCAGAGCCAACATTTGCTTCAAGTTCCTGGGCCTGCTGACAGCGTGCAGGATGCTGATGGAAACTGGCAGAGGCTGCTGTGCCCTGGCCATCCTGCTGGCAATTGTGGACATCCAGTCTGGTGGTGAGGATAGGCCCTAGAGCAGAGACGGCCATGGGGAGGATCCTGGGCTTGTGGGAAGGGCTGGATCCCATGATTTTCTCTGATGGGGAAACAAAGGACTCACTTTTTTTTTTGAGGGAGTCTCACTCTGTCACCCAGGCTGGAGTGCAATGGTGCGATCTCGGCTCACTGCAACCTCCGCCTCCCGGGTTCAAGCAATTCTCCTGGCTCAGCTTCCTGAGCAACTGGGACTACAGGCATATGCCGCCACGCTTGGCTAATTTTTGTATTTTTAGTAGAGATGGGGTTTCATCATATTGGTCAGGCTGGTCTCGAACTCCTGCCTGACCTCAGGTGATCCTCAGGAGCCCGGCTGACTCACTGTTCTTGACAATAAGGAAAGGGTAAAAAATATAGTGTCTTTTTCTTTTTTGTTAGAACTGATACTACTGCCTCTCTGTCAGACATTCTGCCTCTGCTACATGTTTCAAAGAGCCTGGTAATCTGTGCCTCAATCTAAGATTCCTTTAGGTTCCTATATACTATAAATTTATGAAATCCAGGTTTGAGATCCAGATACTGCAATCTTCATTAACTTCAGTACCTAGTTTAACCACTCTGCCTCAATTTGTGCATTTATAAAACGGGAACAGTAACACCTGTCTCTACGGCTATACTGAGGATTTGATATATAGAAAAGCACTCTAACAGAGACCCTATAGAAGTTCCAGCTGGAAAGCAGAAATAAAATATAAACCATTTTGGAGTTAATCAATGGCTGGGATTGCAAGTCTCCCTCAGATATAGGTCTTATAAGACCCATATCTCTTACTCTTGTAAGAGAATTGCATTTAATATGTAGGGGGAAGCCTCCATCTGTGCCTCTTCACCATTTTCATGTGAGTGAGTTTAGTTTACTGTGTATACCAAGAGGAGTCTTACAAAGAAAAGCAGGTCATAGGGGATCAAGCTGCCAAGGGAGTGGGGCTGGCAGCCTCAGCATCTGCCTGATGAGTTTTTAGCAGAGAGCTGGATGTAACCAAGGTTGGGGTTTTGCAAGGATCCATCATAGCGGGAGTAAAGCTAAGGGAGCTGAGGGTGGATATAAGGGAGAGATTATAGTAATGGACTACAAAATATAAACTACAGAAGGAAGTGAAGTTTGAGGAGAGTGAGGGGCAGTACAAAGGTGGCAGGGCCAACGCACTGGAAAATTAGGTCAGAGACACCCATGGAGCCGAAACAACCTGGGTTAACCCAACTATTTTCTCCACTTCTCTATCTAGGTTACAGATTACTTACAGGGAAAATCATCAAGTCGGCAGATTGGCACCGTCAGAGTCATGGTCTTTGGCTACCAATGGTCCCTCAATAATTAGTCTGTTTCTCCAGTCCATTCTCACTCCATTTCCGCACAGTGGCTGTTTTTAATCATCTCTGGTATTTCTGTGGTCTCTCTCATCCTATATCTCTTAGAAAAACTTTTACTCTTCCTTCAAGTCTCAGCTCCAGCACTAAATTCACTGTGAAGTTTTCCTGATTCTTCAGACTCAGGAATCTCTAAGATTCCTCAATTATAATAACTGTGGAATTAAATTGTAATTTTTTGCTAATCTGTTTTTACATTAGGCTTCAAACTCTGAGAGTGGCCAGGCACGGTGGTTCACGCCTATGATCCCAGCAGTTTGGGAGGCAGAGGCAGGAAGGTCGCTTGATGCCTGGAGTTCAAGACCAGCCTGGACAACATAGTGAGAATCTGTCTCTACAACACAAAAAATTAGCCAGGCATAGTGGTGCATACCTGTAGTGTTAGCTATTCGGAAGGTGGAAGCGGGAGGATTGCCTGAGCCCAGGAGTTCAAAGGTGCAGTGAGTTACGATTATGCCACTGCACTCCAGCCTGGGTGACAGAGCAAGACCTTGTTTAAAAAAATTTCTTTTTGGCCGGGCGCGGTGGCTCACGCCTGTAATCCCAGCACTTTGGGAGGCCGAGGCGGGCGGATCACAAGGTCAGGAGATCGAGACCATGGTGAAACCCCGTCTCTACTAAAAATAGAAAAAAAAATTAGCCGGGCGCAGTGGCGGGCGCCTGTAGTCCCAGCTACTCGGGAGGCTGAGGCAGGAGAATGGCGTGAACCTGGGAGGCGGAGCTTGCAGTGAGCCGAGATTGCGCCACTGCACTCCAGCCTGGGCGACAAAGCGAGACTCCGTCTCAAAAAAAAAAAAAAAAAAAAAAAAAAAATTTCTTTTTAATTAAAAATCCCCAGTCATCTAATGGTTAGGGGAAAAAAAAGGTCTGACAGTGGGGCTCATGTCCTGGTCATCATTGCCCCAGCAGGGCTTGGCAGGGTGAATACCTAAACATATTTGTTAAGTGGAGGAACAAATAAACCTATGAATAGATAGATGCTTTGAGCATATTATTTAGTCCCTTAATTTTCATTCTCCAGATGAATAAACTACTGCCCAAGTAGTTAGGTAACTTGCTTACAGTCACACAGCCATCAATAGAGCTGTAATTTGTATTTCCTGTCTGCCAGCACTGCTGCCAGGTTCTGCTTCAGTCCTTCCTTGAAGACTTCTAGTGATAAGGAGAAGTAATGGTGAAATTCAAAGAACACTACCTGACCTCTGGGTAATTCTTCCCTTTCCATTCCAGGATGCATTAACATCACCAGCTCAGCTTCCCAGGAAGGAACACGACTAAACTTAACCTGTACTGTGTGGCATAAGAAAGAAGAGGCTGAGGGGTTGGTCGTGTTTTTGTGCAAGGACAGGTCTAGAGACTGTTCTCCTGAGACCAGTTTAAAACAGCTGAGACTTAAAAGGGATCCTGGGATAGACGGTGTTGGAGAAATATCATCTGAGTTAGTGTTCACCATAAGCCAAGTCACACCGTCACACAATGGGACCTACCAGTGTTGCGCCACAAGCCAGAAGTCAGGTATCCGCCTTCAGGGCCATTTCTTCTCCCTTCTAGTCACAGGTGAGTCTCTAATACCCCTAATGCCACCAGGTGAGACACTGAGCAGAGTTGACAGCTGGTGATGTAACCAGATGGTTCGGGTCCTGGATAGGCAGTTTCCTTCTTCCTCAATCCTTTTCCAACATTCCCATTGACAGATGCTGCCTTTCTTCAACGTGCACATACAAACATAAACTCATTTTGTCTTTAATTTTAAAACTCTTACTGGGGTGGCTATCGCATTTTTATTGACAGGGAGATGGTGACACAGGGATTGAAGAGATTTGTCCAATGCTACTCACCGACCGGTGAAAGTAAAAACAGATAGAAATTAGGCCTCCTGGCCAGGCACGGTGGCTTACGCCTGTAATCCCAGCACTTTGGGAGGCTGAGGTGGGAGAATCACCTGAAGTCGGGAGTTCAAGACCAGCCTGGCCAACATGGAGAAACCCCATCTCTACTAAAAATACAAAATTAGCCGGGTGTGGTGGCACATGCCTGTAATCTCAGCTACTCGGGAGGCTGAGGCAGGAGAATCGCTTGAAGTGGGAGGCGGGGGTTGCAGTGAGCTGAGATGGCACCATTGCACTCTAGCTTGGGCAACTAGAGTGAAACTTTGTCTCAAAAAAAAAAAAAAAGAAAAGAAAAAAATAAATTAGGTCTCCTGATTCCCAATTCAGAACTCTCCCAGAAATGTGGCTATATTTCTAAATTCAGGCAGACAAAGAGATTAGGTTTGAGATAATATGAGTATCTGTCTTAAGGAGCATTTAGTTGGAAGAAACAGAAACCCATTCAAGGTACCATAGATTAAAGGAGGAAAAAATAAAGCAAAAAGTACAGCTGGCCCTCATGAGCTCTAGCTCCTGGAATCAGAAACTAGAAAGGGGACAGGACGCAAAACAGTTACCATTTCAAACTCTGAGGCGGCAGGGCCTCTGGCTTCTGCATCTGTCTTTTTCACTCTGTGCGTGCTCCCCCGGCTCCATTACTACTTTGGCAAGTCCTAAATATGGCCACTCCAGCCCCAGCTTTATGTGGCTTCCTTAAGTCAAATTGTGCCCAACAGAAAGTGTCTGTGTTCCTATATTCCCAGACAACAGAGCAAGCCTCCACAATTCTGTGGGGGGAAAAAAAAAAAAGTTTACCTGGCTGGGCTCTGTGGCTCACGCCTATAATCCCAGCACTTAGGGAGGCCAAGGCAGGCAGATCATGAGGTCAGGAGTTTGAGAGCAGTCTGGCCAATATGGTGAAACCCCATCTCTACTAAAAATACAAAAAACAAAATTAGCCAAGTATGGTGGCACACGCCTGTAGTCCCAGCTACTTGGGAGGCTGAGGCAAAAGAATCACTTGAACCCGGGAGGTGGAAGTTGCAGTGAGTCGTGATTGTGCCACTGCACTCCAGCGTGGGCGACAGAGCGAGACTCCGTCTAAAAAAAAAAAAAAAGTTTACCTTGAATTATATATTCAGCCAAACTATAAACCAAATGTAAGGAAAGAAAAAAGATACTATCACGAGATGCAACGACTCAAAAAAAATTTGCCTTCCACGTGATCTTTTCAAAGAAGCAACCAGAGGATGTGCTTCAGTAAAACAAGAAAGTGAATCCATAAAGGAGATAAAATGAGATACAGGAAACAAGGATCTAACAGGGAAAAGGAAATTCTAAGCTGGACACAGTGGCTCATGCCTGTAATCCCAGCACTTTTGGAGGCCAAGGTGGGAGGATCACTTGAGCCCAGGAGTTAGAGAAAAGCCTGGGCAACATAGGGAGACACCATCTCTAGTGGAAAAGAAAAAAAAAAAAAAGGAAATTCTAGAATTTAAAAAGGGCACTTAGTCCAGAAGAGAGCAAGAGAAAGAAGACTCTGGAAGGGAAATCTCTAGGAGGTAAAAATGGAATTGACAGATCATCTTTCTAAAGGCCCATTAAAAAGACCCGATAAAAGGATTAAACAAATGGATATGGAAAACTCTGCCAGTAAAAAAATAATAAAATCAGGCTCTAGAAAAAACTAAATTTTACAAAAGAAACATAGCACACAACTTGATTCTGCAAAAAATAACACAAAATCCAAATTATGTAAACATGACTAATTTAAATAAAATTTGTGATACAATTATTTTTGCAAGAATGCAGAGAAGGAAAATGGGTAAAAGTATAACCTTCATCTACTATAGCAGAAAGCCAACAGAAAATGTCTACATTTTATCACTAGGAAGCAGCAATATGAGCATATTATTTAGGAATATAAGACATCTTGAAGAGTTGGCAGTGGTTGTCTCAGACAATAAGCCTAGGAGGATAAAAGGGCACTGCCATTGTTCTCTAAGAACTTACAACTACTTTACTTTTTTTTTTTTTTTTTTTGAGACGGACTCTCACTCTGTGGCCCAAGCTGGAGAGCAGTGGCATGATCTTGGCTCACTCCCAGGTTCAAGTGATTCTCCTGCCTCAGCCTCCCAAATAGCTGGCACACGCCACCACCCTCGGCTAATTTTTTTGTATTTTCAGTTGAGACGGGGTTTTGCCATGTTGGCCAGGCTGGCCTCGAACTCCTGACCTCAGGCGATCTGTCTGCCTCAGCCTCCCAAAGTACTGGGATTACAGGTGTGAGCTACCGTGCCAGGCCTATCTTACTGTTAAAGAAAAATAAGTATAAATTACCCACTTACCACCACCCTCCCCCCATGAAAAACTGGCCCAGAGCCTTTGAACAAATGTTTTTAATCACCTCCTATGGTTCCTAGTTAATTCAAATATTCAACTTGTTTAGTTTGATTGACTTTCTTCCTTGCTTCCTGGTGTCTTCCTGTCTGACCTAGCCACAGCATTCAGCACTTCTGACTATTCCCTCCTTCATCAAAGTGTCATCTCTAGTGGTTTCTGTGACTGTACTCAAGTGGTTCTCTACCAGCTTGGCTGTTCTTTTGTCTTCTCTATTTCCTCCTCCCACCTCTCAAACATGAGTATTCATTCCCCAAGACTCACTTCTCATCACTTCAACCTTTTCTCTTTACTCTCTCCCCAGTTCTCATCTACCCATGATTTAAACCAGCATCTCAATGCAATTGACCATCAAATCCACTTCTCCAGTTCAAACCTCTTTCCTAAGTTTTAATTAAATGTTTAAACTAACAACTGTACTCCTAGCTCCTAGATGCCCCACCATTTCCTCAAACTCAGTACCAAAGCTATCCTCCTGAGACCGTTTCTGTTCATGACTGAAGTCAACTTTGGTTCCTCCTTTTTTCTTAACCCCCAATTCAGAGAGTTACTAAGTACTACTGTTCTTCCGCACAGCAGTACTTTGTTATTCCTTTCCTTCCAAAGGTGTTTTTCAGGTCTTCATCATCTCACACTTAACATATTCCAATAGTCTCCTAACTAGTGAGTCCCCTGAGTTCAGCAACTGTGCCCTACTCACCTTTGTATCTCCCACACCTACCACAGGGCCTAGCACTGAGCTGTTGCCTAATAAATGGTCAAGCAACTCTAAATACTGTTTCTGCCTCCACTCCATTCTACATACTGCCACCAGCTTGTCTTTCCAAAATGCTAATTTGTACATGCCACACCACTCAAAGTTTTAATGGCTTCTCACTGTCTATGGGATAAAGTCTAAATTACTATAGCCTGGCACTAGAGACTCTATAGCATTTCATTATATTTATGTGAATACATTGCTTCAGTTAAACTGCACTAGCAGATACTCCTCTTTCATTCATCCAACAAATATGTATAGTGCATCCCACACCCAGCGCTAAGCCTTGGAGAACAGAATGAGGTACAACACAGTCCTTGCTCCTTATAACCTAAAATTCCTGTTCTAATATATTGTTTTGGTTGTGAAGATTCTCCCTAAGAAAGAATGCTTTTCTCATCTCAGCATATTTAAGTATTACAGTCAGCACATCTAGATGGTTCCCCAAATGTGGAAATTAGGTGCATTTTGGAAGGTAAAACTGGTTAAGAGGAGACAAGTAACAGATAATAAACAATGTCAGCTGGGTGCGGTGGCTCACACATGTAATCCCAGCACTTTGGGAGGCTGAGGGGAATGGATCACTTGAGATCAGAAATTTGAGACAAGCATGGCCGACATGGTGAAATACCATCTCTACTAAAAATACAAAAATTAGCCGGGTGTGGTGGCACGTGCCTGTAACCACAGCTACTTGGGAGGCTGAGGCAAGAGAATCACTTGAATCTAGGAGGCAGAGGTTTCTGTGAGCCGAGATTGTGCCACTGCACTCCAGCCTGGGCGACAGAGCCAGACTCTGTCTCAAAAAAATAATAAAATAAAAAACAATGCCTGTAGTCCCAGCTACTAGGGAAGCTGAGGTGGGAGGATCGACTGGGCTCGGAGCTTGAGGCTGCAGTGAGCCATGATCACGCCACTGCACTCTAGCTTGGATGACAGAGCAAGACCCTGTCTCAAAAAACAAAAACCAAAACAAACAAACAAACAAAAAATCCAGATCTATTCCAAAGGGCAAGATTTTAACTTACGCTAAATTGCTTGACCCACTCTAGAAAATGGGGCTATTTGGGGATACCCAAGTCCAAAGTAACTAAGCTGTTTCAGCTATCTCTGTGGCAAAACTTCAGAATTACTTTAAGGTCTATCTGCATCCCCAGTGTCTGACACACAGGAGATTCTATTTATGGCTGCTTAAGTACATCATCATTACCCACAATGTTAAAGATACTTATTTGGGCAACAAATTACGGTGGGAGGAATCCTTGGAGATCATAAAAGAGATGTTATGAGATGATGCAAAAGGAGGTACTGATGATTTCTGAAACCCTCCCCTGATCCATGATTCTCTTTTGAACCAGAGACAGGGAACTACACAGTGACGGGACTGAAACAAAGACAACACCTTGAGTTCAGCCATAGTGAAGGCACTCTCAGTTCAGGCTTCCTACAAGAAAAGGTCTGGGTAATGCTGGTCACCAGCCTCGTGGTCCTTCAAGGTATGTCCAAAAGAGCCGTAAGCACCCCAAGCAATGAGGGTGCTATTGTATTTCTGCTATCTTGGTTATTCTCCAGGAGGAGAAGGTTGGAAAGGAAGTCCAGAGGGAGAGGAAAATGTTACTCAAGCCCTGGTTATCCACAGGAAAGTTCAAACCAGTTTCACTGATCCAAAGGCACTAAAGAGGAAGACAGATAAATCAGACTTTCCAAAGGGTAGGAGGTAAGACTTATTAGGAAAGAAGGCCTGTGAGAGAGGCAAGTTAGTACAACCACCTCTACTCGCTGCGTGAACAGAGGACTACAAGTTGAAGCAACAGATTTTTGACTATTAGAGGAAGAACAAGAGACAGACTTGGTTTGGAGATGGTTTTTTGTTTTTTGTTTTTTTCAGATGGAGTCTCCCTCTGTCACCCAGGCTGGAGTGCAGTGGCACAGTCTCGGCTCACTGCAAGCTCTGCCTCCCGGGTTCACGCCATTCTCCTGCCTCAGCCTCCCGAGTAGCTGGGACTACAGGTGCCCGCCACCACGCCCGGCTAATGTTTTTTTTTTTGTATTTTTTAGTAGAGATGGGGTTTTCACCATGGTCTCAATCTCCTGACCTCGTGATCCGCCTGCCTTGGCCTCCCAAAGTGCTGGGGATTACAGGCATGCCTGTAATCCTGGAGACGGGTTTTTGAACATTGCAGCTCCCCAGCAAAGGCTGATGGTCAGATTGAGTATATTAAACACATGTAGCTAAGTCTTCTGAAAATCATTTACCAATATGGATTGGCGTTTTCCCTATTAGATAATAAAAGTGAAACTTCCAATAATTTGTCATTATGTTTTTGCATAATAAGCAACTGATTCAGGTTTTTGCCTGTCCTTGGCATTCTTAACTCCATTTTATTTAGGCATTCCTCAAATCAATACCACTGTTTTGAGTGGCATTAGAATGTAAGCTCTATATATGTAAGGACTTTGTCTTCTTTACCCCAACAAAAAGTCCCACACATATAGCACACTCTTAATAAATTTGTTAAAGAACCTATATGATGAATCAGACGCTTTACACATGATGATTCTAACCTTATACAACCCTTGCAAGCAAACATCCCCTGGTTACTCATCAGGAAACAACATAAGGAAGTTAAATAGGGCCTGGTGCGGTGGCTCACGCCTGTAATCCCAGCACGTTGGGAGGCTGAGGCAGGCAGATCCCTTGAGCCTAGGAGTTTGAGGCCAGTCTGGGCAACACGGCGAAACCCCATCTATACAAATAAATAAAAACTTTGTCACACATGGTGGCACACACACCTGTAGTCCCAGGTTAAGGCACAAGGATCACCTGAGCCCAGGTTGGTTCAGGTTGCAGTAAGCCATGTTCATGCCACTGTACTCTAGCCTGGGTGACAGACTGAGACACTTTCTCAAAGGAAAAAAAAAAGAAAGAGTTAAATGTTGCCTGTCATAGCAATTAATACAGATCCTTCTCACTCTAAAACCTTACACTCAGTAATGACCTACTATAGGCAAAGCACCTCTTACCTCCTTTACCACCCCATTCATTGAGATCGACTCTTCCCCTTTCCAGAAACAGGACCACCTAAATATTCCCTATTCCAGTCCCTTATCTGCAAGTCATCAAAAGAAAATACAGATTTCAAAAAGAAAGCACAGACCTTATCTGTAATCCTTGATAAGGATCTTCTAAATTTAAGCCTATGCCAGTTTTCAGGAGGAAACATGAATATGAAACAGTCTGACCATTTAGACATAATTTTTTATTGACTTTAAATTCCCTTGGTAAGGCTACTGTAACCAGTAAAATACATTTTATTTTAGAATAAAAATTCTAAAGGGTAAATTGAGTCTAGCCATACAACCTACTACCAGTTACTATCTCTGATTCCCAAGTCATCCTAGAGAGGAAAAAAAAAAAAAATCTGGACTCTTTTTCCTTTTCCACTCAGGTGAAGAGAATGAGCTTTTGAATCCAATTTTTTGTTTTCTCCTGTATTCAAGTAGCTTTAAAGTTAACGAAAGGAAAAAACCAAAGCTCAATATTTGATTAAATGAGAAAATATACACTACTTAGAAGCTTTCTTTTCTTTATCCTTCTCCCCCAACTCAAGGCTTAGTAGAATTATGGAAAGAGGTAGTATTCAGTAGAACAGCACACATGCTTTTTCAGGTCCAGAAACACCACATAGATCAAGTTATCATGCTTACATGTGGGGAAGAGGAGGAGGGAGTTTCCTGGATCTCTGTGCCTCACAGCTCATGAAGCCAATTTCACTGAATATCCTCATCACTATGCCAACAATTCAGATCTATACATGGAAAACCTACCTTCAATTTTTTGAGTGGCATCTATTGCTTCTTTGATTGTCCCTTCCAGCAAGGAGCGATCAAAGACTAGCCCCCTTCCCACTCCCACCAGAATCAGATTTGCTCAAGATTACAACCCTAATTTAGTAATGTGCAATACATAAAATAGTTCCCACTTTCCTTTTCCAATCCCTTCACAGTCATGAGGGCCTATCAAACACACATCTCAGGACAGGTCAGACTTCATTATATCAGGTATTTTGTTGCTATTCTAAGTTACAAGGCAGTAATACAAACTTTCTTTTTCTTTCTACAGCTTTGTAAGCCTTGTGCCAAAAGAAACTTTTTAAAAAAGCTACAGCAAGATGAGTCTGACTCTAGCTTAGTATGCTTCTCATTACCACAGGCACAGAGAAGAAAGCAACAGGGCATAGGGGAAGAGATGCTAAATATACCAAGAATCTGTGGAAACATAAGCTGGGGCAAATCAGTGTGATCCTTGACTTTGCTGCTCACCATCAGAGCAAACCTGCCTTCTTCCCTCCTAAGCTCCAGTAAATAAACAGAACAGTTTTCACCAAAGTGGCTGGTATAGTCCTCAAATATTGGATAAATATGTGCGTTTTTGTACCCCAGAACAACTTCTCCTCCCTCCTCCTCAACATAGTAAAATAAGTCAAACAAAATGAGAACACCAAATTTTGGGGGAATAATTTTTTATTTAACACTGTAAAGGAAAGAGAGAGAAAACAAGCAGAGATAGGTAGGACAGAAAGGAAGACAGCCACACCCAGTGACTGACTTGGCATGAAAATGAGGAAATGCAGACAGACCTCAACATTCAATAACATCCACACAGCACTGCTGGAGGAAGAGGAAGATCTGTGCAGACCAGGAGCACCACAGACTACAACTGCCCAGCTTCAGCTAAACACTTGTTAACCTCTTTGGTCATTTCTCTTTTTAAATAAATGCCCATAGCAGTATGTGCAGTCTTTTCTTTTCTCCTAAATCCACAAACTCTCTTCTTTTTCTTTGGACAGATGATCTATTGTCATAGTTAAACAGAGAGTAGGCAGGATATTCCTGATAGGAGGAACTACATGAATAAAGGGGTAAGAGCACAGAAATTTAGCTACAGCTCCATGGTGAGCCATTAAAAGGAAAGAGACACTTTACCTGTGCTCCTTGGCAAGGACCTGCCAAATGTAGGAGCTAAGGTTTGTGGGAACAGAGAGATATGGCTGAAGTAGACGAGTAAGACCCTTATTAGCGATAGTCTTGAACCTCAAACCAAGGATTTTAGACTTTGTATCCTATGGAGATAAAAGAACCAGCCATAGAGTCAAAAAGACCTGGATTCAAATTCTGGCTCTGCAACATACCAGCTATTTGTCATTGGGCAAATGAATTTTTTTTTTTTTTTTTTTTTTTTTGGAGATGGGAGTCTCACTCTGTTGCCCAGGCTGGAGTACAGTGGCACGATCTTGGCTCACTGCAACCTCCACCTCCCGTATTCAAGCAATTCTCCTGCCTCAGCCTCCCAAGTAGCTGGGATTACAGGCATGCACCACCATGCATGGTTAATTTTTGTGTTTTTAGTAGAGACGGGGTTTCACCATGTTGGCCAGGCTGGTCTCAAACTCCTGACCTCAAGTGATCTGCCCGCCTCAGCCTCCCAAAGTGCTGGGATTACAGGCATGAGCCACCACGTCCAGTGCAAATGAGGTTTTGAGATGCTATTTCTGTTTACCTATCTGTAAAAAGGGATACTGTCCACGGTATCTTCTGTTTCCAAAGGACTGTTCTGAGAATCAAATGAGAGTCTGGATTTGGAACCTAGAACCATTTGAATTCTGACTCCAAAGTCTCCAAAGCTTTCTCCATTACATCACATTCACCTTAATCTTTCTCTGTTTTATATATGTTAGTTCTGTGTTTCTAACTAACTAAATAAGCTCACATGGGTAGAGATGTCTTTTGTTTTTACCATTCAAAGAATCTTCTGGAGCTACTCAACATTATACAATCATTGGAAGTCTCAGAAAGAAGATATATCCAACTATATATAGGAAAGGTTTCAGCCATTGTACTACACTAATTATAGTCCACATATAAAAATCTGTGACACATAATCACAGAAAGGAAACATGATCACTGCCCAAGTTTATGAAGACATTTAAGAGCATTAGATTACTAGCTCTGACTCGAACTAAGCAGAATATATACAAAGCAATCGTACTTTGTACATATCAACTGAGTCTTGCTTCTTAAGAGTTTATTTACTCTGCTTATCTCTCAGTACTTGGTTAAACAGAAATTTAAAATACTTGCGTCTTGGCTTTCAAAATGTGTTGATAAATTGACTTCAAATAAGCCTACAAATTTCCATGCATAACAGGTAGTTTTCTGGACACACATCTTAGCCCCAGTCTACGTGAGTGACTCACAACCATGGGTTTTGAACCTCTGTGAGGCCATGAGGTTATCAGAAGGAATCTATATAGCATAATCTTCAGCCTGAATAAATATCTTTCAAGTATTTGTATATACTATATTTCAATTGGATGTAAATTCTGGTGTGACTAATAAAGACACACTGACTTAGGCCGGGCGCGGTGGCTCAAGCCTGTAATCCCAGCACTTTGGGAGGCCGAGACGGGCGGATCACAAGGTCAGGAGATCGAGACCACCCTGGCTAACACGGTGAAACCCCGTCTCTACTAAAAAATACAAAAAACTAGCCGGGCACGGTGGCGGGCACCTGTAGTCCCAGCTACTCGGGAGGCTGAGGCAGGAGAATGGCGTGAACCCGGGAGGCAGAGCTTGCAGTGAGCTGAGATCCGGCCACTGCACTCCAGCCTGGGCGACAGAGCGAGACTCTGTCTCAAAAAAAAAAAGAAAAAAAAGATACATTGACTTAAAAGCATTACTGAAATTACAGCAGCTTTTTGTTACATATTCTTTAATCAAAAATACTAATAATATGGCTATCATGTTGTTGGAAGGGAATCTAATAATTTGGGGGTTTTTGTTTTGAGACAGGGTCTCTGTCGCCCTGGAGTGCAGTGGCACAATCTTGGCTCACTACAACCTCTGCCTCCTGGCTTCAGGCGATTCTCCCTCCTCAGTCTCCCAAGTAGCTGGGACTACAGGTGCGTGCCACCACACCCGGCTAAGTTTTGTATTTTTAGTAGACATGGGGTTTCACTGTGTTGCCCAGGCTGGTCTCGAACTCCTGACCTCAAGTGATCTGCCTGCTTCAGTCTCCCAAAGTGCTGAGATTACAGGCATGAGCCACCATGCCCAGACAAGAATCTAATAATTTTTGGACCTTGAAAATTGTATTTCTTATTAGAAACTGCAAAGAACCACAAGCTTACATCCTATGATTCACAGATCTAAGTGTTCTGGTTGAAAGAGGAGGAAGGGGCAACATTCAAACTACACTTCTGTGGACACCAAGTGTAGTTTGGCAGGAAAACATAAAGTTCACATGTATAAAACCTTAAAGCTGAATGCCTATAATGCACTTGTCTGTGGCAGGTAAGAGAGATCAAAACCTTACAATGTCATTTGGATCAGACAAGGGCTCTATTTTGATCCTGGAAAGCATCTCTGGTTGTACACATTGTATTCTATGCATTCTATTTTAAACCCCTGGAGCAGCGCAGTGCTCCCCGGCTGAATACTGAGACACTGACATTATTGCAGGCTAGGATTTCCCCCTATAGGACAGCCACTTGTGATGCTTATCCCACCAAAGTTTTCCTCCATCTTACAGCGACAGAACATAAATGAGATTCATTCGGGAAATTCTAAAAACAAGAGTATTCTATTCTGTAAGTCGCCCCCAATCCCCAGAGCGCTGATGGATTATTCTTGTAAACAGCACTTTTATCTTCCGATCTCTCTACCACAGAGGCCAAAAAGGGTTTTCCCCTAACATCCAAATACCTGTTCAGATACCAGCCCTGCTCCTTCTCGTAAAATCTGTCTCCTCACCTGGGCGCGGTGGCTCATGCCTGTAATCCCAGCACTTTGGGACGCCGAGGTGGGTGATCACTTGAAGTCAGGAGTTTGAGACCAGCCTGGGCAACATGGCAAAACCCTGTCTCTACTAAAAATACAAAAATTAGCTGGGCATCGTGGCATGTGCCTGTAATCCCAGCTACTTGGGAGGCTGAGGCAAGAGAATCGCTTGAACCCAGGGGTGGGGAGGTTGCAGAGGGCTGAGATCATGCCACTGCACTCCAGCCTAGGTGAGAGTAAGATTGTGTCTCAAAAAAATAAAAATCTGTCTTCCACTTCTTAAGTCCCAAAGCTGTTTTGTTGTCATTTAAAACAGACTCAGACTATGCTTCCCTCCTGATTTATTAAGACAGATATATTTAATTTGTATTTCTTGAGGGAATAGCACCTGGAAACCAGGGAGAAAGAAGCTGAAGCATGCAGGTCATGAATTATTCCATTTGGTGTCAATAATTTGTCAGAAAAGTTTTTTTAAAAAAGCAAAAGATAACTGTATTATAGTTCAACTGATTATAATATAGAAGCAATGGATGATGAACACCCTTTCCTCAAAGTCTTTTATTCCCAACCTTTGGAAATGATTAGGTTTTCACCTCCAGGGAATCCCTTCATCACAGAGCATAATAGGGTACCAGCCCAAGCCAACATACCAGAGAGCTCAGGGGAACAAAGAACCTAACAGTTATGTACAATGAGAGAATTAGACTGTGAGGCTCCAGCCCTCTTCTCTATCTCTGCTCACTTTACCTCAGTGCACACCATATCCCTTCTTCCTCCATTGTGAAATGTGCATATACATGTATATAAATATCTATATTTACACATATATACATACATAAAAATGTGCAATACAAAGACATAAGCAAGGAGTTTTTCCTAATAACTATTTAATCAGAGACTGGTTGGAGAAAAAACAAGCTCTTCCCCTCGAATTTTCCTTGTAACTTGAGAACCAATTCCCGCTTAAAGAAAACATTTAAGAAGCACCTGTCAGCTGGGCGCGCTGGGCTCAGGCCTGTAATCCCAGCACTTTGGGAGGCCGAGGTGGGTAGGTCACCTGAGGTCAGGAGTTTGAGATCAGCCTGGCCGACATGATGAACCACTTCTCAGAGAGACACATTATTAACTTGGTGAAACTTAAGTGGGATGAGGAGTACTCTGTATATATGCATCATTTCTGTTTTTCCTCGTTGTGATGGTTAATCTTACGTGTCAACTTGACTAGGCCACATGATGCCCAGATATTTGGTCATACAGTACTCTGGGTGTGTCTGTGAGGGTGTTTTTGGATGAGACTAACATTTCAATCAACAGACTGAATACAGCACATGGCCCTCCCTAATGTAAGTGGCCCTCATCCAATCAGTTGAAGGTCTGAATGGAACAAGTAAGGGAAAGTCCTCCTGCCTGACTGCTTGAACTAAGACCTCAGTCTTTTCCTGCCTTTGAACTGGAATGGAAACATCAGCTCTTCTAGGGTCTCCAAGAGCTGGCTTTCAGACTGGAACTACACCATCAGCTCTCCTGGATCTCTAGCTGGCCCACTGCAGATCTTGGGACTTCTCAAACTCCATAATTGTGTGAACCAATTCCCTATAATACATCTCAGGCTGGGCGTGGTGGCTCCTGCCTGTAATCCCAGCACTTTGGGAGGCCACGGCAGGCAGATCACCTGAGGTCTAGATCTAGAGTTCAAGACCAGCCTGGCCAACATGGTAAAATCCTGTCTCTACTAAACATAAAAAATTAGCTGGGCGTGGTGGCAGGTGCCTGTAATCCCAGCTGCTAGGGAGGTGAAGACAGAAGAATCACTGGAACCCAGGAGGCAGAGGTTGCAGCAAGCTGAGATCGTGCCACTGCACTCCAGCCTAGGCGACAGAGTGAGACTTCCATCTCAAAAAAAATAAATAAATAATAAATAAGAATAAGAATAAATTCCCGAAGAACCCTAACTCCTCAACACAAATTAACGTGGACATCTGACGTGCCTCCCATTAAAGAAGAAACACAACAGATTCATTAAGTGGGACAGTCTGGGAAACAGCAAAATGAGTCTCACGTCCTCTACCCATCAGAGCAAAAAAAGTGAAGAAAATTTCATATAACTTAGTCTGATGCTGTTTGCTATACTGTGTAAAAAAGGCAGACCCCTATCCAGCACTTTGTTTCCACCCTTTGTAAAGCTGCTCAGATCCTCTAGTTCTCTAGGCATTGGTTCTCTAGCTGTAAGTAAAACTACAACTGCCTTTCCTGGCATCTCCAGACACTGACAAGCAGATAAATATGTCCAGGCTGTCATAATTT